TTTACCCAGTCAAAAAATCACCACTTTTCCACAACTTAATCTCTTTATATCTTCCTCTCATTCCTTGCCACTGCATCACTAAACACACGTTTTATATCGGTTACCAAAAAGTGCTCGCTATACCTCTCTGCCACTATCCAAGTTTGTGCTTATTGAATTGGGTTTTTTCGAATTAGAATTTTCTCCCTTTTGAAGCCATTTCTACCATAAAAACTACTGATCTAGATACCTTTTCTTCACTCTTTGCTGTATTTTCATGTGAAGTTCTGATTCTTGGTATGTGTGGGGAGTTTTGGTCCATTTTTTTTATCATTAAAGCTACTGATTCAGATACTCTTTCGGCCATTTCTTGTAAGGTTCTGATTTAAAGAACTTAAGCCCTTTATACCAAATTGTATGTTCTTAGCCTTAATTAGCCCTCCGCAATTCAAACAACACCATTGCAGTCTTTTTTGCACCTGAAGAAATGGAAAAAATTGGTACTTTGGAATGCAAGTCTGTAATCAGTGAGTTAACTCAAGGTAGGGAACTGGCAAACCAGCTTAAAAACCAACTTCATCCTGCAAAATCGCACGAGACCTGCGCGATTTTAGTGGAGAATATACTCTCTTCCTATGAAAATGCTATTTCATTGCTAAATTGTAGGGCTATGTTTGGAGAAACTTCACCAGTTTCTGCTGCCATTTTGGAGTCACCATATTCCCTTGCTGGTACTCCAACCAGTGAGGGCTCTAACCCTTTTTCCAAGGATCAAAACCAAAGAGATGTATTCAAGAAAAGGTATGTTTCAAGCCCGTATATAAGCATGTTCATTTTGATTGCCAAACATAGTTTTAAAAAGTTACTTTTTTAGAATAACTTTTAAGCTTAGCCAAACACGTGTTCTTGTAGTTTGATAAACTTAAATTGATCTTAAATCATTTGGGTATCTTTTTACAGAAAGATATTGCCTAAATGGAGTGAAGAAGTTCGTGTTTGCTCTGGGACTGGACTGGAAGGTCCTCTTGATGATGGATATAATTGGAGAAAATATGGGCAGAAAGATATTTTAGGGGCTAATTTCCCAAGGTGAGGATTTTATGTTTTACCTTGTCTAGTAAGTAGCCTCTTCTTAACATTTGATGCAGATTAAGGAATTTCAGAAGCACTCTAATTGAAACAAAACTCGGGTACATTTCTAATACGTATGTGATACAGGGCATATTACAGATGCACTCATCGTCATACGCAAGGATGTTTGGCCACGAAACAAGTCCAGAAATCAGATGAAGACCCCTCAATTTTTGAGGTCAACTATAGAGGAAGGCACACTTGTATTCAAGAAAGGCTAAAGCTGAACAAAGAAGATTATAATGTGAAGGAAGAAGACAGCAATAATAGACACGCAGAGGAGATGGTGATCAGCAACGAACCGGGCATTAAACTTGAAACTCCAGATTTGAATCCTAAGGAGGAAATGGATCCTTCCTTCTCATTTCCTTTGACTCCAATTGTATCTGATGACGTGGAAACTGAATTCTTGTTAGAGCCTGCCAAGGATTGCAATTTCATGGAAAGTTATACGTCTCCATTTATATCCCCGGCCACATCTGAGTGTAACTATTTCTCGAAATCGCTGTGCCAGATGAACGACTTTTGGGTTGATCACAACTTGCAAAGCTCAGAATCAGATTTTGCCGATATAATCTCCACTCCAACTTCAGTCACCAATTCCCCATTCAGCTATTGGGATTTCACAGCTGATCCGTTGGAGTTGGATCTTAATTTCCTTCTTGACACCTCTAAGTACTTCTAACTTCATACCACAGATTCCTTGACTCAGCTAGACCAGGTGTCAAATATGTGCTGCAATAAAGTGCGTCTGTACCTGTTGATCCTATTGTGCAGATGAAATTTGTTTATAAAAGTAGGTAGATAGTATTAGCAAACCACCAGCACAATCAATAAGGAAGCACAAGATTCTTGAAGGAAAAAAGGGAAAGACTCTCATAATATTGCCAAAATCAGTGGACAGACGTTGAGGGGTATTGGAGCTCTGACGACAATATGTTTAAACCAAAATGATGATCCAGCAAGTCCTAAAAATCAGATCAACATGAAGATTTACCAGTTTCGGCTAATATGGAAGATTCTAATGTAAAGGTGTCAGAAGCAAGTAAATCTGAGATAAGAGGACCATTTGTACCAGATTTTATGGGATTCATTTCATTGTATTACTAGTTTAAATATTCCCTTGTAATGCCTAATGGTTCATGTTGTCAATCATTGAATAAGAGACATATCAATTTAAGCTTTCCTCTTCCTCTCTTTTATACCTTTTTCTTCTTGGTATCAGAGTCATAGTGAACCTTAGGTAACAAACCACAGCCCTTTCTTCCTCTCACCATTGCTACGCTATCTCTCAACGTTGGCAACTTCATCACTCTAAGACTCACTCCAAATAACTACCCCTTGTGGCGTGAGCAAGCATTAGCTCTAGCTGAAAGCCAAGAATTAGTGGGACATCTCACAAATGAAGATCCTGCACCAAACAAATATGACCCTGCAGACAACACAAATTCTCAATTAATAGATGCTTTCATCGCATGGCGAAAATCTGATCGTCTTCTTCGAGGGTGGATCATTGGAACACTCTCCGAGGAAGCTCTCGGCCTCGTCGTTTGTCTTGATACAACACATGCAATTTGGGAGGCTCTCAAAAATGCAAATGCCCAAGAATCACAAGAACGTGAATTCACTTTGCGCCAACAGCTTACCTACCTTCGATAAGAAGACCACACAACAATCACAGAGCACATCCGAACCTTTAAAGGTCTCAATCACAAAATTGGCTTTCCAACCACACCGACGTTCAAGCATCAACACTCACACATCAAGTAGCATTTTATGGTCAACAAAAGCAACGTTCTCAATAAACAACTAGGGGTATCGTGGACCAACACAAAAATTTACTTCAACTGGACATGGATTCCAAGCATAGCAACGCAAGGATTCAAGTCAAGCCTACAACTCTTCTCCTGCAAGAGCACAACGCCGACCTCCACCACCAGGTGAACGTCGCATGACACCTTCCGAAAGGGAGAAATACCGTGATCAGCAATGTCAATACTGTGGAATGTTGGCCATATTGCGAAGATGTGATGGTGGATACCAAAAAAATCAACTCCTCAAAATGAAATTCCACAAGCACTTGAGGCACTGACATTGGAAAATACCATAGTAGACATGGAATGGACTATCGACGCTAGAGCTTCCAATCACATGAGAGGTAAGTCAGGTATGTTAACTAACATTCATCATTACTCTGGTTCCGATTCAGTGTTAATAAGAGATGGATATGTTGGATAATTTCAACATATATGGGGCAACACGTTGTATATTGAAATGTGTTGTGCTATTATTTAAAGGATATTAGTCAATTAAAGTGATCCGATAAAGATGTATTGTGACTAATGGGTATTAGATTTCATGGAATTATAGTGTAGAGACCGGAGTATTGTTTTAGATTGATAAGGGGTCA